TTTTGTTTTCATTTTCCATTGTTGCCTGCCAAAGATTGTTTTTGTGTGTATGCAAAATTAAATCCATTATTGTATTGTTAAAAATAACGGACCTTGTTTTATTCAACACGACTTCAAAGTACATAAAAAAATCATTCAAAAATTATTTTTACAAAGCGCTTTAATGTACAGGAATTGATCTTCTACATTCCCAAATTTTTGGGAAAGAAGGCGATGTAGTCTTTGATTCCGGTAGAAAAGTGTATTACTTTGCATTGAACATTTTCCGCGTTAACAACTAGTACATCCCCTTCTGTGTCTTGTACTTCAAACAGATGGTCCAATTGTACTCTTCCCTTAAACATCCACGGAGTTATTAACATTTCACGACCGTATAGATAACATGTATTGTTGACAAGTACAAAGCTGTGAATTTTAATTATTTTCTTTGATTTTATTTGTACTACAGTATCATCTGTTTTTTGTGGACGAATGTATGAGGTACTGCGCAACACGATTTCCTTGTAAATACATCGATTAAATACTTTAACCGGTATCTGTACTCCATCTAGGTGATTCATCATCACTGTTTGAATCTTTTTGTCGTGTCGGCCTGTACCGATCAGTGTCACACCATTATCACTTTTCACGCAGTTTACCAGACGATTTGGTTTAAATAAATTATGACAGTAATTACGACAAGCAGGCACCGTTGAAGCATCGTTGATATTTGATTTAATAAATTGTTTTTTTAATACTAAATTTGCAATTTGATGGCTTACACCGTGAGGCGCATTGATGTGGCGTTTGAAATAAAAAATTCCATTTTCAAAAGGAAATGTTGAACTTGCCCATAGCGGCCCACTTTGTCTAACCGATTCACATAGGTGCAGCATTGAATGCAGATTGAATGTCATTACTTCCTCCCCATATAAAATTTCACACTCTCCCACAAATTGAAGCAGATCACATTCGCATTTTCGAAGCTCTGCTTCGCTGATCTCGCTTTTCAGCAGGGTGTTAACGCTTCGAACAAATAAAATATAAGATTCAAAACATTCATCGTTGAGTATCCCTTGTAGGCATGGTACACTGTCAAATAACAGCCAAGATTCCCATTCCGATGCTTTCCACTTTGGTGCATCTTTTATCGGCCTTACCAGTCTCTGAATTTCATGCGGTCGCTTAATTTTTGATCGACGGTTATTTATTTCCTCTCTATCACTTGGCTTTAAATAACAATTCCTTGAGGCTGTAGTCCATATGCTCCATAATTGTTTGGTCACACCTAGTAATACACCGTGCATGTAATCTATGGGGAGACCCCAAACGCAATTAAAATGATTCATCCGCAGCAGTTCCGATCGACCTTTTACACCGTTTATCGTTAAGCGGGCGCGATAAATTCTTTCAACCTTGTCAACGTCTTGTAAGTAACTTTCGTGTGATCTTAATTTTGGATCGATGCGACACATTAGATATCGCATTGCACTACCATCATAAAATCCATACGCATAGCACCAACTACATCCGTAATGTCCGTTGAACTGTACGCGAAACTGTACAACTGGACGAGCTACTGAGTCCATGCATAGTAGAAGACAGTAAAATTTATAGTTAATTTTCTCTCCGATCAATCGATGTGTAAAATTTACTACATTATTCATTAGATCTTTAGCCTGATCGATGAAAATTGATAAATACATCTTCATGAATTCAGGCTTCGGCTCTTTAGAAGTTACAAATAGTCCACCAAGTATGACGTTACGAAATCGAACGCGAGGACTCAATTCATTAATGTGAAGTTGGATTGGCCAGAA